CCATGTACCACATCACGCCAGGCCCTCCTGTCTTCCACCGTCCTCTGAAGTTTGCTCAATTTCATATTCGTTGCATCTATGACACTGTCTAACCATCTCATCCTTTGCTGTCCCCGTCTTCTTTGACCTTCAATCTTTCCCAGCATCAGGGTCTTCTCCAGTGAGTGCTCCCTTCTCATTTGGTGGCCAAAGTATTTGAGCTTCAGTTTCATTATCTGGCCTTCCAGGGAACACTCAGGGTTGATTTCTTTTAGGATTGACTGATTTGATCTTCTTGCAGTCCAAGGGACTCTCAAGAGTCTTCTCCAGCACCATAGTTCAAAAGAATCTATTCTTCGGCGCTCGGCCTTCCTTATAGTCCAACTCTCGCAGCCATACATGACTACTGGGAATACCATTGCTTTGACCATGCAAACTTTTGTTGGCAGGGTGATGTCTCTACTTTTTATCATGCTGTTTAGGTTTGCCATCACTTTCCTCCCAAGGAGCAGGCATCTTTTAATTTCATGGCTGCTGTCACAGTCTGCGGTGATCTGGGATCCCAGGAACGTGAAGTCTGTCACTACTTCCACAACTTCCCCTTCTATTTGCCAAGGAGTGATGGGGCCAGATGCCATGATCTTAGTTGTTTTTTTTTATGTTGAGCTTCAAGCCCACTTTTGCGCTCTCCTCTTTTACTCTGAGCAAGAGGCTCTTTAGATCCTCTTCACTTTCAGCCATTAGAGTGGTATCATCTGCATATCTGAGGTTGTTGATCTTTTCCCCAGCAATCTTAATTCCCGCTTGTGATTCATCCAGGCCAGCATTTCGCATGATGTACTCTGCATATATATTAAATAAGCAAGGTGACAATATACATCCTTGTCGTACTCCTTTTCCTATGCTGAACCAATCAGTTGTTCCATATCCGGTTCTAACTGTCGCTTCTTGGCCCTTATACAGGTTTCTCAAGAGACATGTGAGGTGGTCTGGTACTCCCATCTCTTTAAGGACCTGCCATAGTTTGTTGTGATCCACACAGTCAAAGGCTTTAGCATAGTCAATGAAGCAGAAGTAGATGTTTTTCTGGTACTCTCTTGCTTTCTCCATAATCCAGCGAATGTTGGCAATTTGATCTCTAGTTCCTCTACCTCTTCGAAACCCAGCTTGTACTTCTGGCAGTTCTCTATCCACGTACTGTTGAAGCCTAGCTTGTAGGATCTTGAGCATGACCTTGCTAGCGTGTGATATGAGTGCAATTGTGCGATAGTTTGAACATTCCTTGGCATTGCCCTTCTTTGGGATTGGAATGTATACTGACCTTTTCCAATCCTGTGGCCACTGTTGCGTTTTCCAAATTTGCTGGCAAATTGAGTGCAGCACTTTAACAGCATCATCTTTTAAGACTTTGAATAGCTCAGCTGGGATACCATCACCTCCACTAGCTTTGTTGTTAGTAATGCTTTCTAAGGCCCATTTAACTTCACATTCCAGGATGTCTGGCTCGAGGTCAGTGATTATACCGTCGTGGTTGTCAAGGACATCGAGGTCTTTCTTGTATAGTTCTTCTGTGTATTCTTGCCATATTTTCCTAATCTCTTCTGCTTCTGTTAGGTCCCTACCATTTTTGTCCTTTATCATGGCCAGCTTTGCATGGAACGCTCCGTTGATTTCTCCAATTTTCTTGAAGAGATCTCTAGTCCTTCCCATTCTATTTTTTCCTCTATTACTTTGCATTGTTCATTCAGGAAGGCCTCCTTATCTCTCCTTGCTGTTCTCTGGACATCTGCATTCAGTTGGGTAAATCTTTCCTTTTCGCCTTTCGCTTTCCTTCTTTCCTCTGCTATTTGTAAAGCCTCATCAGACAGCCACTTTGCTTTCTTGCATTTCTTTTTCTTTGGGATGGTGGTGATTGCTGCCTCCTGTACAATGTCACGAACCTCCGTCCATAATTCTTCAGACACTCTATCTATCAAATCTAGACCCTTGAAGCTATTCTTCACCTCTACTGTATATTCATCAGGGATGCGATCTAGGTCAAACCTGAATGGCCTAGTGGTTTTCCCAATTTTCTTCAGCTTAAGTCTGAATTTTGCAATGAGTAGCTCATGATCTGTGCCACAGTCAGCTCCTCTGATAGTCTACTACTAAATTCTGAGGAGTTTCATGAAGTCCATTCCCTTCCAGGTGGAAAAAATTACTGATCAATAGCCAGTGATTGTAAGTGCTATAACGCAGACAGTTTAAATGATCTGACAATGTTTATAATACTAAATAATTCTGTGGGGTGGGGGGCTGAAATTAATTTCTGTGGGATGTGCACTTCCGGTGTCCAGCAATTCAGACATCAGTGGAAAAGTACAGAACTTTACTAAAGTTCCTGGAGTCTGCTAAGTATGGACATTGGGTTTAAGTTCATTTGTTTTACGGTATCTGCATGCATGCTGGTGTGAGCAACCAAGCCTTGTCCTAGCTCATCGTCTGCCCAGCAATTCGAAAGCTTCGGCAAGTAGATAAATTGGGGACCACCCGTAAGGGAAGGTGTTAGCTGCCGAGTGTGACTTCTGAGGCGCGGCAGATCGAAAGATTAAAGAGCTCTTTCGGCTTCCCTGCAGTGGAGCGAGTCGGCCAGGCAGTGGCAGTGTTGCAGCACAACATCAAGAAGCCCTGACGTCATCAGCCAGCCGACAAGAATACATGCCGTCGGAACACGACTGATCCAGCCCGCAAATGAAGGCCCGGCTTGCTGCAATGTGTGTGTAATTAAAAATGCTGTATGTTGTCTTCCCTATCCCCCACGAATATTGTTAGTCCAATTGTCAAAGATTAACTGTAAATCGCTCAGAGCCCGCAGGTGTGTGGGAAAGAGCGATCAATAAATCGAAAGTATTATTATTATTTCCACCATTCATGGATATTCCGAATACTACACCCATGTCTTCATTAAAGGTGTGTGGCTCATAAATCCATAAATAAAAATAATATGCCACACTGGAGACCCTTTACAAAGGCATGGGTGTTTTTCCACTGAACCATGAGCGGCTGGATCCTGGTATTGCATACCCCATGCATCAATGGACACCAAGGGAAAACTGGGGACTAGGAGAAATTGCAAAATTACTAGGGGTGTGCAAAAAAATTGGTATTTTGGGGGTGCAGGCATATTAAACGCAAAAATACTGGTATTTCCTGATATTCCCGAATCTGAAAACAGGTATGGTATTTGGATTCAAGAAATGTTCAGGAAACTTGAATTTTTCCAGCTCCACTATACCCATGGGGGGTATCTGAGGCTTGGAGGAGTTGTTTTTGGAGGTAGAGGCACCACATTTGCAGTATTGCTGCTGGTGCCTCTTCTCAAAAAAAGCCACCCAAGTTTTAAAAAGATTGGAGTGGGGGTCCAATTTTATGGGCTCCCAAAAAGGTACCCCCCATCCTCCAATGATTTCAATGGAGAGGGGGAAAGGCATTTAAAGGGACCACGATCTCTTTAAATGCCTTTAAGTTTATCTATCCAGCAGTCCCAAAAATCCAGAATATTTTCTTGATTTGGGGGGCTTTGCCATTTAGGATAGACAAGAAGGGGGACCCGCGATAGTCGCGGGGGGAGCTCCACGTGGAGGAGGAGGAAGCAGTCACAGGTAAGCCTCCCCCCTTCCCCCAGCACCAAGAGCAAGGCCCGTGCGGTTCCCCCCAGGCCCACCAAGCCTCCCCCCTTCCCCTGGAACCAACGGTGAGGCCCGTGCGGCTCATGCCGGGCCCTCCATGCCTTCTCTCCCTCCCCCAGCACCAACAGCAAGGCCTGTGTGGCTCCTGCCGGGCCTGGCAAGCCTTCTCCCCCTCCCCCAGCACCAATGGTGAGGCCCGTGCGGCTCCCGCCCGGCCCTCCAAGCCTTCTCCCCCGTCCCCCCGGCACCAATGGCGTGGCCTGTGCGGCTCCCAGCCATTGGGCCTGCCAAGCTTTCTCCCCCCCCTCGTGGCAGCAGCGAGGCCTGAGTGGCCGGCCAGCCCACCAAGCCTTCTCCTGCCGCCTCCCACCTCCAGTGGCGGCAGCTTCTCAAAGCGTATGCGCAGAGAACGCTCCTTTACTTTTGGGGAGATTTAAGTATCCCCCCATAGGTGTTTTTTAATATTTATAGATTTTTCTGCACATCTGGGGATTGCTCCAAATGTGCAGGAAAATCTCCCTGCCCCCCAGGTGTCCCCAATGTGCAGATTTAGATATCCATACGCAGGGGGCGCCTTGGCTATTAGATATATAGATGAACAATATCTGAAAGCGAAAACCAGCTTCATCGATACCCCCAAAATACTGAGAAAGTATTTTCCAGGTATTTTTTCAGCTCAGTTTTAGTCGAATGCACACTCCTAAAAATTATTCATACTACTCATCACAAGTCTCACAAATGGGTTTTGGACTGATTAGTCCAAAGTGGACCTAATACAATTTCACAGTCAACTGTAGCAAAGATCCTCAAAAGTGTTACGAAAGTGGCATATTTTTCCCGTATGTTTACTGTCAAGCTAGTCCAATTACTGCTCATATGAACATCAGCAATTTTATCAGTATATAAGCCACATATGAAATCTGTTTGAGGCCTAGAACGTTCACTTTCAGGTTCTACAATCATTCAACCAGTCACTGTGCCAAAAGAGGTAGATGAAAGTTCACTGCCTGCACATAATTTATACGGTTTCACTTAAGATTCTGACCATAAATCTTAGAATGATCTCCTTAGAACCTATCATTAGCTGCCGCTGCCTAGCTTCAGCAGGTAATTCAACAGCAGACAAAGAGGACATGATGCTACTACCTACTCTGCCATCAGAGCTGACTAGCCGATGGCACACACTCATAGCCTATATCATGAGTATGATGGAGGAGTATAAGAGAATCTACCATGTACACCCAAGGATATTATGTCAGTTTAGTGGGTTTAAAAAAAAACACCAAGTGGAAATTATGAAAACACACACTTGCAAGAGTATCTACAAGACTTGCTTATGTTGCTTCTTCATACCTTTGGGGGAAGTGCATCATTTTCATTCTTGAGTACGAACCGTCCTTCTCTATCATCTTTGTTCCAATTTAATTGCACAACAAGAGGTTTCTCATCGATATCCAATCTTCTTTCTTCTTCAAAATATGAAAAAGAAAGGATGTAACTAATGATTACTTACTATTTTACATCAAAAACCATATTTCATTAGACTGCAGTAGCACAGTACAAGATTATGTTACATGATTTTCTTTGTATCACAGTATGAGCATGCGCAGACAAAAGGTTCCTCTGTACATTAGGAATGGGGCTCCTATGTAGCTTTACAGCATTTAAAGATTTTAACAACACATTAAGGGATGAATCCCTAGTGCCATGTTAATATTTTAAATGGCTAAGAGGACCTGAATTCCACAAGACAGCCATACTCAATTTTTATTCTCACTCTTCTGCTAAAAAGTAGTAATTCTCAATGACCTATAGATACAAAAGCACTACATTTTAATAAAGCCAAGCATACAGAAGAGCATAAAATTTATGTAAACTTAAAATATTTTACAACCCTCCCCCCAAATCTATAGCTACGCCCCAAGATCAAGCATACTCAGTCATCAGCTGTGTCTCATTTGGATGCAACTTTTGGTTACTGCATATTCCCTAGCCCATTACCATAATGAAGTTGCAATCCTAAGGATGTTTTCATGCAGGTAAGCCCCACTGGATAACATGAGTCTTACTTCTGGGTAGACATGCTCAGGATTGCTCCCTGAGGTTCCAACTGGTTCATAAAAGTGTTCTTAAATCAGCCAAGAACTAAACAAGCTCAGATTTTAGCAGAAGTGAAGAGGCCTCATTCCAAGCTTCTGGACTATCTCATTCAGGCGCTTTATTACGAAAGTTAATATGGTGATAAGATGGAACCTTGACACTGCCTCCCAACGCAGTATTAATCAAAGCCAGCAGTATTAGTCAAAAGGATCATGCTTCCCTTTGCCCTTCTTCCAGATGTTGATAGTATTAATAGCACTGGTAGACAATCTCAGTACCCACCCACAACTATGAAAGTTCTAGAAAAATTGTTTCCCCACTTCATAATGAGCCACATCAATTTTGCCTAAGGACATCCTTTATTTTGCCTAAGGACACCTTCCCTGACCTATCCAGGTCCAGGCTAGCCCAGTCTCGTCATATCTCTGAAGCTAAGCAGGGTCAGCCCTGCTTAGTATTTGGATGGGAGACCAACAAAGGAAGCCCATGATTGCGACATAGAGGAAGGCAATGGCAAACCACCTCTAAGCTTCTTTTGCCTTGAAAACCTTATGAAGGAGCCATAGGTCAGCTGTGACTTAATGCCATTTTCCACCAACAAGTACATCAAAGGGCTACTATTCATGTGACTGGAGGATAAAGAGGAGATACACATTCATTTTTCCTATCCCACCCAATAAGGAAAACTTTGGTACCGGGGGGGGGGGATGATGAAATAACATTTCTGGAAAGAAATACTCGATTAATGGTGAAAGTTTTTTTAAAAAATTACCTAATTACATTGCTATCACACTATACTTATAACGATGATGGTATCAAACAGCCAGCACTGTAAAGTTTTGCTTAATAGCAAATTCTACTCCTGGTCCTTAATATCATAGCTGGTTAATTACTTTATACAGATAATGCATTCCTGAGTTCACTGTAGAAATGTGTCTGCTGTTTCTGCATGATAATGTTGAGGTTTGCATATTATTTCTATCCCAGATATGGCCTTTTTTGCCACAATGATGCTATTATTTCCTTTTTTGCTGTTTGCTAGCCAACAGAGACAGATGTTTTCATAAGACTACAGTAGTTCCTAGCCAGTATATTTATTATTAGAATATAAATGTGCACATTTTATTTCATGAATGTATCTAGAACACAGGCGACAAACATGTGGCCTACAGGCCAAAAGTGGCCCACCTGACTCTGGGATACAGCCTGCCTGAGATTTTTAGTAAACACCCCCCCCAAGCTGTTTAAGTTTACTTTCACTATGAATATATCATGATACTCGTGGCCTTATGAAGAATTACTGACTAGCATCTATCCTATCAGAGTGGCTTTGTTTCAAGAGGAACTGATTGAGCTGAAAACAAACTATGTCCCCCAAGGAAAACAGCATTCCTGGAGTTTTGAGATGAGTATATGAATCCTAGAACTACTCCTGAAATTTCTAGTTATGTGGCCAAACTCTGGGCAATGCTTGAGTCTGCCTAGCTCTATGAAACTGCTGAAATTGAAACTCTGTTTTCTGATCCAATTGTGGTCTACTCAGATGCTCAGCTGGCTTTATCATCTGGCACCAATGCGTGGCCTCCTGTCTCAGCTAAAGAAGTTAGAACTTTAATAATACAAATGAAGTCAGGTAAAGCTCCAGGCCCTGACATGGCTCCCCATGAATTATTTAAATCAAACCCAACTTGGTGGGCAGAAGTTTTTGCACCAGTTTTACAAAAGTTAATGATACAGACATAATGCCTAGTTATTTGGTGGCATACTATCCCTGTGCCAATACACAAGAAAGGAGACCCATCAGATCCTTGTAATTACCGCCCTATCAGCATGTTGTCAGTTCTGGGGAAATTATATGCATCCATGCTGTATGGCAGGTTAGTAAACTGGCTAGAAAACAAGGCAATCTTGGGGAAAGAACAATCTGGCTTCCCAAGGGGAACTAGTGCAATTGATCACTGCAACGTTCTACAGTTTATTATTGATAAATATACTGGTAATAAGAAGGGATCACTAAGTGTGACCTTCATGGATCTCAGAAACACTTTTGATACGATACTTAGAAATAAACTATGGGCAAAATTGGGAAAACTATCTATGGATGAATGTCTCTTATTTCTTATCCGTCAGGTTTATGACCATACAACAGCCCAAGTTAGGTGGGGCCCTTCAGGAGTACTGACAGATCCTGTTTCACTAGATAAATGTGTTAAGGAAGGATGCATTTCAGCCCCTTAATTTATATATTAATGATTTTAATTATTTTTTGTTACAAGAGGATTGCCACTCGCCTTATCTCGCATCAGTGAAGCCGCCAGTTCTCCTGCATGTGGATGACACTATTTTGCTGTCTAGATCCATAGTGGGCCTGTGTGAACTTATCTACTTTCTAAATACTGCTGTAGGGAAGGTTTGATAAATAATGTAGCAAAGTCTAAGCTTGTCATTTTTAGTAGAAAAGCGAATGTAAGGGAATATAAATGGACCATGGCTAATCTGCCTATGCAACAGGTCACTAGTTAAAATACTTGGAAGTACTGTTCAGTGGTGATCTTTCATGGAGAACTCATATGACATCAGTAATAAGAGCTGCTAACAGCATTGGGATACGAATCACGATGCTTTCATACTTCAGGGGGACAATACATACCTTCAGCGCTCAGAGTATTTAACTCTGAGATAGCTGGTCATTTGTTATATGAAGCTGGTGTATGGGATAGAAGCTGCTACTGAGAATATTGTTCAACCACTTCGTAGTATACTGGGGGGGGGGCAAATGTGTGGCCGGTGTTATTCTAAGAGTTGAAGGGGGTGAAATCTCTTATAAAGGACATTTTAAAGTGAAAGATCCTGCAGTCAGATCCAGAGTTAAGTTTGCTCCCTTTTATTAATTTAGACAATCATAAGACAACTGGGATAAATTGGTGAATTACAAGCTAACGTGCCTAGAGATTTCAACAGAAATGTTGATGAGCTTAAAACATCTGGTTGAAATTCATTAGAAACATCTGGATTATAAACATACATCAGTGAGGGCAAGAAGAGTTTGCTCAACCTTCACACAGTTGGCACTCCCCTACCGTATTTTTGTGATTTACCATATCCTAAATATAGACATGCCTTTCTGTTGATGTGTCATAATGCTCTACCATCTACAGTCTTGTCAGGTAGATACAAAGGTATTCCATACTCAGAGAGAACATGCAATTGCAACCTTAACCACATTGAATCCATTGACCATGACCATTGACCAGTTTGGTATAGTGGTTAGGAGTGTGAACTCTAATCTGGAAGAACTGGGTTTGATTACTCACTCCTCCACTTGCACCTGCTGGATGACCTTGGGCAAGCCATAGGTCTGGCACAGCTGTTCTTGAAAAAGAGCAGTTTCTGTCAGAGCTCTCTCAGCCCCACCTACCTCACAGGGTGTCTGTTGTGGGGAGGGGAAGGGAAAAGAGTTTGTAAGCCGCTCTGAGACTCCTTTGGGTAGTGAAGGGTGGGGTATAAATCAAATCTCTTCTTCTTCTTCAAGCTGCCCTGAATTTTTAAAACTCATACAGGAGCTGATTTTCCCTCTACTTAGTAAAGATTCTGCTTCTACAACTGCTGAGACTTCTAGCCTAATGAGCAATGAAATGGATGGGCTACATACAAAGTCCCTAGATTTTTGGCTGCCACTGTAGAAATACTGAAACATTCTAAAGCAACTGCATAAACCCTATCATTATGTGGGTGGCTTTCCATTAACTGCTTAAACATAAATTCTCGATGGCTGGTCAAGACCACTGGGTTGCATGAACAGTAGGGATGTGCATTTCGGGATCCCGAGCCGAAAAAAAGCCGAAAATAATGTTTTTCGGCTTTTTTCGGCTTTCGGGATCCCGAATTAGCAATTTATGCGCTTGCCCGAATCCCGAAAAAAAAATCCCGAAAAAATTCGGGAAACCCGAAAAATTCGGGTCCATTATAACCAATGGGGCCATTGAAGTCAATGGCAAAAATCTTCTTGAAACTTTGTGGGGGGCTGGGGGGGAGGAGGTTTGGGGTAGAGGCTCCAAACTTGGAGCGTGCTTACTGTAACCTCTCCCCAACATACCCACCAAGTTTCAAGACGATTGGACCAGGGGGTACAATTTTATGGGCCCCCAAACAGGTTGCCCCCAGATCAGCTTGCTGCAGTTTATTCGCGGTTTGCCGCCGAAATTCGGCGGCAATTCGGCAACATTGTATCCTATGGACCTTGGAGTGGGTAAGCTCCAAACTTGGAGGGTGGTTACTAGAACCTCTCCCCTACATACCCACCAAGTTTCATGAAGATTGGACCAGGGGGTCCAATTCTATGGGCCCCCAAACAGGTTGCCCCCAGATCAGCTTGCTGCAGTTTATTCGCGGTTTGCTTAAGCTCCAAACTTGGAGGGTGGTTACTAGAACCTCTCCCCTACATACCCACCAAGTTTCATGAAGATTGGACCAGGGGGTCCAATTCTATGGGCCCCCAAACAGGTTGCCCCCATCCCATTGTTCTCTATGGTGGGAAAAAAATTACTTTTTTCCCCACCATAGAGAACAATGGAGGGATGGGGGCAAACTGTTTGGGGGAGCATGTTTGCAAACTTTTGCCAGACCAGCCAGCCCCAGCCACACTGCAGCAGAGAAGAACCATACAAGTGCCCCCCCCACA